CTCAGTTAATTGGGCCGTTTTTATAGAAGGAAATTTAACAAGCAATAATTATGAAATGCTACTTATAAATGGTTGGAGCTTGAAATAGAAAAACAAGGTTGGAGCCAATTTTCATCAAATATGGTTTCAGCAAGACAGAGCTCCAGCACATTTTGGTGTAAATGTTCGGCATTATTGAGATTAGACATTTTATGGGCGATGGATTGGTAGATTAGGTAGTATTGCATGACCTCCTCGTTCACCCAATTTTAATCCTAAAGATTCTCTCTCTCTTCAATCCTGACCCCCCGGGGGAGTGTAGTGGTCGACGTGATGTCGTGTATTGTCCGTCTCCAGAGATCTCTGTCTCTGGTCATTTCTTTTAATTCATGCATAGGTCTTTGGCATATTCCTGTAATTTGATCTATCCATCTTGTTGGGGATCTTCCTCGTGATCTTCGGCCTTCTACCTTTCCTTGTATTATGAGTCTTTCCATGTTTTCTGTGTTTGCTCTCATAACATGCCCAAAATATTTTAATTGTTGGAGATGGACTTTACTAGAGAGTCGTTGGCTAACTTTTAGCTCTCTTAAAATTGAATTATTTGTTCTACGCTCGGTCCAATGAATTCGTAACATTCGTCTCCAACAGAACATTTCAGTGGCGTCTATCTTTCTTCTCTCCGATTGTCTCAGAGTCCAAGATTCACATCCGTAGGTCAGTATCGGGAATATTAAGCAGTTGATCAACCTCATCTTTATCGCTCTTGAAATTTGACATTCCTTCCAAATTTTGGTCATTTTTGCTGTGGCAACTTTTGCTAGATCACATCTACGTTTAATCTCTTTTGTAATGACCCTGTGTTTGTGATTAATGATCCCAGATACAAGTATGAGCTCACAACCTCGAACCGGTCAATTGTGGTTATGTGTGGATGATTGTTGTGTAGTCTATCCACTATCATGATCTTTGTCTTTGATATGTTTAATTGCAGACCAAATATTTGACTTTCGTTTTCGATCAGTCGTATAAGTTCCATCAGCTCTGCTTGACTATTTGCAAGAAGGGCTGTGTCATCTGCGAAACGTAGGTTGTTTAGTTTATGACCATTTATTGAGATGCCCTTTTCCCATCCTTCAAGTGCTCTTCGCATAATATACTCTCCATATATGTTGAATAATTGTGGAGATAGTATACATCCTTGTCTGACATCCCCGTTCTGGATGAAACTCGTTCGAAAGTGTGTCAAGTACTTTAACTGATCCAGTAGTGTTTTCATATAGTTCGGTTATAAGCGTAATTAGATGTTGTGGTACGCCTACTTCTTTTAGTATTCGCCATAAGTGTCTCCACTTGACCCTGTCGAACGCTTTACGGTAATCTATAAAACAGATGTATAGTGGGATGTTGAATTCCCTAGATTTCTCGATTATCTGTCTTATATTCAGCAGGTGTTCTCGAGTGCTTCTACTTTTGGTAAATCCAGTTTGCTCTTGTGGAATTTTCTTTGAAGGAATGTTTTCAGTCTCTCATTGATTATATGTAGCATTATCTTGCTGGCATGGGATATAAGAGAGATAGTTCTATAATTGTCGCATTTATGGAAGCTGCCTTTTGTATGTATGGTCGTTATTGTAGATTTTGTCCAGTCTTCAGGCCATTGTTTGGAATGCCATATTTGGTTACAGAGTAGATGAAGTAACTTTACGCCGGTTTCTTCTGTAGCTTTAAGCATTTCTACTATTATCATATCTGGACCTGGTGCTTTGTTATATTTGAGCTTGTTGATAGCCTGTCTTACTTCATTTTCGAGTATATCAGGTTCTTCTTCCATCTCGTCAGAGATTTGGCTAACAAGCTCTTGGCGTTGATCATCTTTATATAGGTTCCTGCAATACGATCTCCATGTCTCTGCTATGTCTTCTCTGTTTGTTCTCAGGGTTCCAGTGTTATCTTCAATGGCCCAAGTTCTGGCTCTGAAGTCTCTTGTCAGGTAGCGTATTTTTCTAAATAGATCTCTCGGCTGCTTATTCCGACCATGTCTCTCAATTTCTTTGCATATACTTTGATAGTACTGTTTTTTGTCGGCCTTACATCTTCGTTTTATTTCTTTATTGAGGTTTCTTAAACTAGCTTTTTCCCTTTCACTATGTACACCACTTTTACAAAGATTTCTTCTATTCTCAATTATTTTAAGAGTTGCATCTGTTCTCCAGTGTTTCCGTTTCACCAGATTATTTTTCTTTGAGCGATCCACTGGTGTTGTCACGCAATGTTGCAATTACTGCAACAGTCTCCCATATTTCTTGTGATGTTCCGTTACGAATAGAGGACATACTTTTCTTTACTTCCTGTAGAAGGTCGTCTTTCTTTCTTAGTTATATCCTCTTTATCTCTCTTTGTTTGTTGGGTGCTTTAAGTTTAAGCATTACTTTAGCTACGAGGAGAGTATGATCGGATTCGCATATCGCCCCTGGATATGATCTGACTGTTTGAATGGACGATCTCCAGCGAATATTGGTGAGGACGTAATCTATTTGATTTCTAAATCTATCTCCAGGACTTTTCCAAGTATAAAGTCGACGTACATGGTGTTTAAATCGAGTATTCAAGATAGAGTAGTTGTTTGTGAAAGCAAATTCGATTAAACGGTCTCCTCTTTCGTTTCTCTGCCCTATGCCAAACTTTCCCAGTACATTCTTTAAGTCGTCATTTTGTGTAGTGTTGCCAACTTTTGCATTAAAGTCGCCACATATTATAGTAAGTTCTTTATTTGGTATGTTAGCGATTGTGGTCTCCAGTTTTTCGTCGAACTCCTCGATCTTTATGTCATCTGATGTGCTGGTTGGCGCGTAAACTTGTATGATATTAAGTTTATGTGGTTTGCCATCCAGTTTAATGAGTACTATCCTATCGTTCACAGCTTTAAATTCGACAACTGACTTTTGTAATCTTGGTGAGACCAGAATGGCAACACCTGTATAGTTCTGGGTTTCACCGCCAGAGAAGTAAATATAATTGCCATTGTCTGTTCTAAAATGGCCCTCTCCTAACCAATGAGTTTCAGCTAGTCCTGAGATTTCTATATTGTATCTTGCTAGCTCGTTTTCAATAATTGCTAGCTTACCTGTGATCGTTTTTAGCCCTTGTATATTCCTATTGAAAAATAGAATTTATAAATCTAAACCAGCAAGTGCTGTAGAGCTAGGGCAAGAAAATGAATCCATATTAATTTCTAGAGAATCATGGAGAAATGTAATAAACATATTCTACCATCGTTTAGAATATATATAAATGAAATTTCAAAGAGACCATAGATATCAGAAAAATGAAATGTAAATCTAACAATGTTACAAACATCAAATTTCAAAACTGCATATTGCAAAATAGATATATACCTACTTGTTTTGTATAATTCGGACCATCCATTTAAGAGATAAGTTATTATTAAGTATTCAAGTAAATTGATTTTTTTACTGTTATGTTGTTCTTGTTAAGAAAACGCTGTTCGCCGATGCTGGGTCAATGATATTCTATGGGAATTAAAAAAACCATTTGTTTTTTTTTGTTTTATATGCAGGATGTGCAACATCTAGAAAATATTGTAAGGAATACCAAATTGAAGGCAATCAAATCTTATATTTAAAAATATTTATAACAGAATTGAGAAAGTTCATTTAGGCCAAAATAACATAGAGGATTAAAATTATTAACTTATACTAGCATGATGAAATTTTTATTCGAATGGAAGAAAATCCTGAAGGAAGCATTCATAGATTATCTTGAATCATTGCAATTACTGTAAAAAAAATAACAACGGAAAATTTCTGAGCACAATTATTTTTTCTGACGAGACAACTTGCACCAGGTGCGTAATTTTTAATTGGTGATAGTTACATCTGTGAAACCATTAAAGATTTTAATACATTGGATTGTAGGGTTACATATAATACCCTGTATAATATAGGGTTACATCTATAAACACACTAGACAAATTGTGAATTAGACTTTACGATGCAGCCAATTAACTATAAATACTAACACAACACCTTTCAAGTCAGCCAATCTGTAAGTAAATACATAGAATCTTACTTTCGGATTAGTAAGATTTTATAATATACGCACTGAGAATATTGTAATTAAAAATGTTAAGTAAAGAGAAATACAAGATGTTAGATTTAAAAGATAAAATGTACATTTTACAGCAGTTAGATAGTGGATAAAAACATGTGGGAATTGGCAAAGAGTTATGGGGCATGATACTATACATGATCTTAAAAAAAAACAAAAGATAGTGGACCATGTGAAGACAGTGCAATCTAGACCAGGAAAGCATAAAACAATAGTTGCTGAATGTTCAAAGATAGAAAACGCTCTCTACATGTGGTGCATGGAGGGGTGTTCTAAGTACATTCCTGTATCTCAAAAAATTCTGAGAGCAAAATCAATCAAATTTTATAAAAAAAAATACAAAGAAATAAATGAATTAAATTTTGTGCCTGTGTTGGGTGACTGGGCAATTTTAAAAAGCAATTTGGTATCTGTCTGATAACTATATAGGGTGAAAAGTTATCAAGCAACGAATTTCAGTGCAGATATTTATCCAGCATTTCAAAGACAAAGTAGAAAAACTGGTTTTCCTCCTAAACAAACCTTTAATGCTGACTAAAGTGGTTTGAATTGGAGACTGTTACCCAATAAAAAAATGTGTATCCTCTAAAAACACAAGCAGACTGGGTTGAAAAATGAGTAACACATTTATGCCTTGTTCAAATGCTACTGGAATACACAAACTGGAATTGATAGAGATTGGATAAGCTAAAAATGACAGAAATTTCAAAAATATTTAGTAACATATAACTTTCTGTAGTTCCATGATTAATGCAATGAACTATAAATATTTAAGATTTTTTGCATGGGATTGATAAATGGCTTATACTTAATGAAGATGGTGTCTGTTGAGATCATTGTAATAGTTTGTCTATGGAAGCCTCCAGGAACAACCTAATAAAATGCACAATAGTGGGACAGTTTTTTTATTTATGAAATAAATAGAAAAAATAAAGATCTGATTGTGTATGTTAACAATGGCAAAAATGTGTGCTTAACAGTTTTTTATTTATGAAATAAAGAGATAAATATAGATCTGATTGTGTTTGTTAACAATGGCAAAAATAATAGTTTTACCTATACAACTACTGTGTGAATATTTAAACATAATTTTTAACTATTAAAACAGCATGTTTTTACAGTTATCAAAAAGGAGATGTAAGTAATAACTAAATCATTAAAAAATCATCATGACCAATAAAAAGTTGCAGACTCTTTTCCAATAACAAAACTTGTGTAGTAAAGTTTCTTATCAAAACACTGAAACTACTACATCATTTGGCTGTCATATTTAAAATTATATAAGTAATTAGTAAATTATATTTTAAATATGATAGCCATAAATTATTAGTATCTATTTGTGTAAATAAGCATTCTGCTCCAATTATCAATTTAAAAAAATCTATAGTAGTATTAAGTTAACTATGGACTAGTATCACCTTCAGCCGTTTCTTGGCCTTCTTCTTCTTCTTCACCAATCACTATTTCCTCTGGATCTGGAGCTCTAGGAAGAAAATCTAAATCTGGATATATTTGTCTAAACATCTGTTCTGCTTTTTTTACAGAATAATCGTAATCCAAGTCAGTATCAGGACCAGGACATACAAACACATTGTCTGGAAGACCTTCTGTTAAATCTGCATTATTGGTATCTGGCAACGAAAAGTACATAGACCAAAGAATTGAAGGCTTTTGCTCATTTTCCATGTTGGTTTCTTCATTTTGGTCAAACAAACTATCTATAACACTGCTGAAATCTTCTTGTGGGGTAGTGCCTTGTTTGGCTAATAAATGCACTACATATAAAGGTTTTGGGCAAGTACCTGTAAGACATCCTAGCTCAATTAGCTTCACAAGTGGCTTTCCATTCTCTGGAGGATAAAATGCTAGAGTCAAGTGTTCTTTTTCACTATCTAATATGGATTTATCAGTTATTAATACACATCTGGAAATATACTGTTGATTGTTTGACTTAAGGAATTGTTTTGGTACTTTTTCTATACTCATGACAAGATGTTCTGCTTGAATATTTTGAGACCTAACTGTTATTGATTTAAATTTATTATCGGACACAGTAAAACCTTGTATGCTTTGCCCTAGAGCAAATACACCACCAAACACGGCACTCAGTCTACAAAAAGCTTGTGGTATTTCTCCACTTCCATACATTGAATATAAAAATGGAGTGTGCCCAAAACGTCCTAAACTATCTAAAAATCTTTTTACATTCACAACACCTACATCACAAGGTGTGTCATCAGAGCTCATTGAAATACCATAAAGTAGGTAATGAATCAAATTTGGAGTTAATTTTTGATCTGCAAGATATTGTTTGAATGTTTTATTTTCATAATCATTCAGTTTATCTAAAGTATTTAAAGCTGTTAAAACCTTCATTAGCATTCTTTTTTCTACCACAGATACTTTACTGTTTGCAAAAACATCAGAACGTGAGCAAGGTAAGAAGTCCAATTTTTTATTAAACCATGTAAGTATTCTACTCACACTTCTATACTCGGAATACCTTGCTATATTTGATGATATTAATAATTCTACAAAATGACCTCTGGCATACTGAAGTTTTGGTGTAAGATCAATATTAAATCTTCTGGATAATTTTAATAAAGCCTCCTTGTCCCAAATGACAGTATCAGGTTTTTCTTTTTCTATCACTTCTTTATTATCGTCTTCATCTTTACTTTCAGTCACTTGTTCTTGATTTTCACTATCTTCTTGTTTTTCCACTTGGATTTTTTCTTTTGGTATTACATGGAATTTGTAATCAACATTCTTAAGATCGTATACCTGATTTCCAAACACATACAAGTCTAGATTTCCCACATTTGCAACTGGATTTTCTTTGGACTTCTTTAATTCCATTACAGCTTCCAAGCTAAAAGAAGCCCAATGCCCACCATAGTATTCCTTTTCATCAACATGTAAAACTCGTTTTCCTACACGACTTGCAGCCGCCGATATTATAGATTCTATTATTCCTGTTCCCACAATTACTATATCAAAATCTGTAGGAAATTCGTAATCCATTCTAACAATATAATTTATTTAAGTTGTACCCAATTGTACCCACTATAATAAGATAATAACATGACATATAAAACATAAAACACAGAACACAGTCCGTGATCGGTGTGCTGTGATATCAGAACAGCTGATTTTTGTCATCTTGACAATTGGTATTCAGTATGACCATCTTACTACAAGTCTGGCATATGTGAAATGTAAAAAACTGATTGGCTAATTATCACTTTTTCCAATTCCAATAACTTTGTCGTTTATTATCTTGTGTTATTTTATTATTATCCTAGATTTTCAAACAAATGTCATATGTCATTTTTCAGGATGGGCAATAAAACGTCAATCAATTTTGACGTTTAATTTGATAAAAGTAAACATGTCTGTAAATATGACTAATAAAAGTTTTAGTTAGTAGAGGCGGATTCATCAAAAGTAATGTTAATTATTGTAAAAAATCAAAGTTGACGAACTTGGAAGTTTAAAAGTCACCGAATAATTAATACTAAAATGGTTACAGAAGCGTTTATAGAAGCCGAATTTCCTTTGCACTGGTGTGTCTGGAATAATGACTATAAAAGTTTGGGGAGTCTTCTCTCATCCAAAGAGGTAATTTGAACATTTTTCATATCATAACTTTATCGTACATATTAAGAATATTTTTAGCATGATAAAGAAAAGCAGGATGTTAGGGGTAGGACTCCTCTAATGCTGGCTGTAACATTAGGTCATTTGGAATCTACTAGAACCTTGCTAAATCATGAAGCCAATGTTAATTGCGAGAATTTGAATGGATGGACAGGTTAGTGTGTTAATTTGATTAATTGGATTAAGACTAAACTTTCTACTTGTAACCTTAATGTTTATTGGATGAGTTATTTTTGGCTTCTTGTCTAACTTTGAGTTATCTTAATTTTCTAAATTATCTCACACTTTTTATTGATCTTCAAATTTTATAATACATCTAATTAATTCAACTATAGTCCGCAGTTAATTTTAATTTTTATTCCTTATATGACTATGAGACAGTAAATTTTAATTAAAAAAGGATGAAAAGTTTGTTTAAGTAATATTTAAAATGATTTGATGATTAGCTGTTTTCCCGTTTTATCATTTTCATACTGATTGGTATGTAACATATTTGGAAAAATATTTCAGAAACAAAGTCAAGTGATTAACTGAATTTTTTGTAAATATTTTTACTACAGTCTACACTACCTAATTTTCAGTGTTGGTAATGTTTTCGTATGCGTAACTTCCTTCATCAGATTTAATATTTTTTACATTAGTTGTTTTATTGTTTATGACAGGGTACCAAGAAGATATAAAACAATTAAAAAGAGACAATTTCAGTGGCTGACAGTAAGAGCTAGTTAAATAGTCAAGATTAATGACATGAACAGTGTTAACCACTTAATGCATTATCCCGTGTTTGACACAGAGCAGCTTGCTGGTAAATTTGGAACTTGTCTGTGTCACACATTTAACTGTAGTACTGCCATTCAAACATTTTATGGCTGTTTCTCACCCATTCATTTATTTTTTATTTATTTTATTTTTTTTTCTATTGTTATTTTTTTTCTAAGAATTATAATTACTATTTTTTGTCCTTTTCACAGTTAACATTGAGTTTTAGATGTAGCTGTACTTCAGCCTATTTTAGTTTTATGACCTTTTCTGACCCTTTTTTTTAATTTTTGATATGTTTTGAATTTTCTTCATTTATCTCCTTCTATAATTCTATGCCATTGATATGTTTTTGCTTTTAATTATACATATTAAATTTTGTAAAGTAAAAATATTTTACATGCATAATGATATGATGAAATAAAAAAAATGGATAATTTATTACAATAAACTCGAAACTAGTGTGTGCATTAAGCAGTTTAAGACAACAGAAGGAGAAAAAAGGATATCAATTAGAATGTGAAGGCAAAATTCATAAATTAAACAAATTGAAAAACATATGCATTTGACAAAGAAAAATGAAAAAATATAGAGCTACAGGTCTACATTATATTTGGATTTTGTTGCACTTATACTCTTTCTCATGGTTTTCTTGTGGTTTTCATCTTTTTCTGATCTTGTGTTTTATTTTGCTGTGTGATTTATTGCATGCCATCACTTGTTTCTCTAGATTTGGTTAATTATTTCACTATTCCTTATTTGTACCTCTTTTATACATATTTGTTACTTGAGTACAACCTCCACATTTATTATCATCAACATCATTCCGTTGCCTTTGGTTTACTTTTTTTAATATTACTCGGAAGCTATTTTTCTTGTGTTCTTTTTAATGGCAGTTAATTACACTTTTAGTGGAAAATAAATTTATTTTTATGTTTCTATTTCAACTTTGGAAATTTCTTTCTAAATGATTTACTAAGTGGAAATCAAATCACCAAAATAGACATATTTTCAACTGAAATTGACATTTTGGCATCAATTGGTGTCACATCTAGATTTTTTCTAATATATTCAGTTGTCAGCCTATCCTTTTTGGTCATTCAATCCATCTATCTAACCATTCTTATTTTATATGAAATTTATCAGTCTCTCCCACACCTGCTCTAACACTAGTTGTAACTGATCATACATGTCTCTCATCAACTTCAAATTCTCACTGGAAACTCCTTTTCTTTTCTGTTCTTCATAGTGTTAGTTATATCATTCTAATAATTTTTTTGCTTATTTCTGGTTCTTCAAGTAATTTACACAGTTCATTTTAACTTTGTCAAATGCTTGTTTAAAATAATTTTTTTATTCAGAGAAAAAAGATACAATGTTTTAATAGATTAAAATCATTATAATTTCCTATACATGAATATAATATGACTTGAAACATATTGCTTGTGCAGTGGTTGAATGAATTTATTGTAATGTAGAAATGTCCTGAACATATTTACACTATCTTTTCGCAATCAAAACAATATTTATTACTTAATAATAAGATAACAAAAACACAAAACAAATTGAATTGCTATTTCATAAATTAGGAAAAAATACTTCAATTACAAAATTTAAAAAAAAACATCATTCCTATATGTGTTTACTAAAAAATAACATAGCAACAAATGAAAAAAAAAAACAATTACAATTATGAATCTAATTAGTCTAATTAATGAGACTAAAGCTTGGGTTTGTGATAAATTGATTTTAAAATTTTTCTTTGGACAACATTTAGTTATTCCAAATGATTGACATATGCCCCACCCCACTCAAAAATGCCCTAGCATAATCTGGATTCTAAGGCAAAGTACATAGTCCCATAAAAGGAATAGTTCTAAAATATTTCTAGTTCTAAAGGTATTTAAATTTGTAAAGGTTTTTTTTATATTGTTAGACTGTATTTAAAAAATAATTAATAACGGTATTAGCGATATCCAAATCAGAATTTAGAATCTGATCACCCTCTATTAACTATTTAGCAACAGAATTAACCTTAACTGTTTGGCTCAGTTCACAAATAGCCTTCCACATATTTTTACTATCAGGTTTATTAGTTATTATATATCTAGTAATATCCTGCCTTAGTATTTTTTATTAAATTTGTCAGAAAGTTTTTGTAATTTTTTTATGTTTGTTTTTAGAATTGCATCATGTGGATTTTGTAATCATTCTTTTTTATAATTTATTTTTTCTCATCTTTTAGTACGTCAATGGATACTAAACAGGATACTACTAATTACTATTAAACTGGGAATAAGCCACAATTAAAGATAAAAATACGTTTGTATTTTGAGAACAATTTCCGAAGTGGAAATTGAAACGTCAATAAACATTTTTATCTTTAATTGTGGCTTATTCCCAGTTTAATAGTAATTAATTTACAATGCCACAAGAAAATAGCTTCAGAACATTATTAGGATACTACTAATACGGGGTGTTCCATTTAAAATAAGAAATTTTCTTTAAATTCGTCATAACTTGTAATCCTCATAAATCAATTTTCATAAGTAGTTTTCGATATATACCTAGTATCACCTGGAGCTTTAGTCATGGACTAATACGCACCCCTATGCGCATCGCCCAGCCTTAAAACATCTACAATTTTTGCTATTGGCCGACTGATCTGAAAATGCCATATAGAAACATATAAATATGGGACATTTTCAATTCTGGTTTCGGCTCCCATATAGGGTCTATTGTACCTTGGGAGTCCATTGTCGGGGCTCTGCTCTGGTTATTCGAACTGAGACTCTGTGGCTGGACTTTTTTCCACCTTTTAAAAATGTATTTCATTTTCATGTGAGGAAATACCAATATTCCACCCAAGATGGAATATATGCAGAAGGCACTTCGAATGGACTGGTCGAAGTCTCTTTGTAAGGCACTGTGGGAATCGATAAGTGGCCATAGTTTTCTAGGCCCTTCCTCCCCATTTGGTGATAATAGATAGTGTAAGCTCGTCGTGAAACAACCTGTATATTCTATTTAATTTTCATCAATATAGCGCAAAAAACCAAACCGATATTTTAAAAAAATATGGTTTTAGGTTAGTTTTACACTGTTTATTTGTATGTAATTTCTTTCCATGTCTTTAAAACAGTAAATTTAGTAATTCGAGGTGATGAATGGCAAATGGATTGATAGTTGCGAAATTTACCTCATAATTTGTTTCACTATTTCTTACATAAAATTGGTTTTAATGACGGAGCACTTTACAATGACTTTTACTTAATCTAACCACACACCTGAGATTAAAGTCTATAAATAATATCATGGTCGGTTTATTGTATTAATAACTTTCCTCTATTATCTCTTTCAGCAAGAAAATATGTTCGATTGTTCTTCTTCCTTGTCTAAAACCTGTCTAGTATTTAACAATTATATCTTCCATTATTTTAGTGTATTCTTTATATGCATTGCCAATATTTCGTGTGCGACGTTTGCATCGACGTTAAACATTAACCTTTCAATATTTTTTAAAATATCTGTTATTTTTTATTAATTACTTTTTTTTGCAAGCACATAATTGCTGTTTAGTAATTCTAAGTAGACTATTATACAGTGAACGGCTAAATTATGGAATATTAACATTATTTCGAGAACCGTTGAGTTTTGAGGGAAATCCGGAAACAGGTCAATTTTTGTTAT